GGAACTGGGACGCCCCTCTGGCAATCTGTCAGTGCCTGGATCAGCTGCATCCTTTCTGGGGTATTTTCTCACCAGACTGACAGTCCTTAAGACAAGTATGCAGTTAAGCTGCTAAGGTAAGTCTTATGATGTTGGAACTCTTTGCCCTGGACACACATCATTTCCTCCTGCTTTGTCGTGTTGACCTAACACAAATCCCAGCCAAATAGCCCCTCTCCTTCTCCCTGGCCAGGGGCTTCCTCCCAGCCTCTGCCCCACCCAGGTAGGACTCTTCTACCTGCCCATAGCTCTGGGAGAGTTGTGGCTGGCAGGACCACTCGCCATGGGGGAGGGATTCCTTAGCGCTTTGGGTGTGTTTGGGGATGGGTGGGGAGGGGGAACAAAAGAATCATGAAAAAATGTTATTTTCCTCTCTGTGGCTTAACTCCCCTCTCAAGTTTTCTTCTGGGATAAATACGAGGCTTCAGTACGCAGTCCTGAGGTGCTGCTAACATATTCCGGTTCCAAGAAAGTGCCGCTGTTATTTTGAGTAGTTTTGATACAACCAAATCAAAGTGAAGATTTGAAATAGCTTTTCTGAAAGCCCAAGCTGAAGTCATAAATTATTCTGCACCATGATTCTTTCTGATAGTAAAACCATACCTCTTTGCCTGACATTGCTGAAATGTGGAAAAGTGAAAGTTAAAAATAAAATGAAACATTTAAATCTTGGCTGTTGAGAACCTCAGATAGACATCAAGGCCAGTCGATAAAGGCCCCTATCAATTAGGCTTCCATGGTTATCATCAGATTTGGTTTATTAGCAATCGCACAGGTGCAGGGTTCCGGCATTAAGATTGAGAAGGGCTAGGAAAAAATGCGGGGAAATACCATAAAACGGGAAGTGAGGGGCTGGGGAGACAAGGTCGGCTCAGTGGCAGGGTCCCGGGCCATGGTGGTGCCACCACTTCATGGAATCTTGTAGGAGGAAGTATCTGCAGCCAAAGGGTTGGAAGTTTTCCCTTCTTTTTTTTTTTTTTTAACCCCCTTTCTTTGAGTTAGAAAGTGTTGATTTCACACTGTGGCGCGTGTTTTCCGTCAGCTTCTTGGTGGGTGTATTCTGTGTTAACAGGAGCAGCGAATACCGGCAGTTGTAGCTGCCCCCAGCGGCCGGCGGGCAGGCGGGCAGCGGCTCCGGGACGCTCTTGCACCCGGGACGCTCTGGCAATGGAGGCGGCCGCGGGCTTCCCGAGCCTCCAGACTGAAGTGTTTGGCTACTTCCCTTCTCAGCATAACGCAGGCAGAACAATTTTTGGTTTCATAGCTGTTTGGTTGGGAAAACAAGCCCGCGGTTGCCAGTAAGGTTTAGAATTTGCCTGCCAGATCAGGGAATGTCTGTGAAGACTATTTTCCCTCTTGGGAGGCAAAACACAGATGGGGGAGTTAGGAGTCTTACAATATTTAGCTGCTACATTGATGGTAGTGATTCTGCCGCCTGGATGCTCACAGTTTCTGAAGGCCCAGCTTAGTGTCCCTGCCAAGGGCCTCAGGTAGGGAAGGGAGTGGGTGGGGCTCCCCACCCCCCACCCCTCTGTGGTTGCTCTGGAACATTCCACATTCTGTGGCTTTTGAGGTGGGTAAGGAGGCGCTGCCAGAATGCTGCCTTTTCCCCTTGACCCATGCCAGGATGAGAAGGGGCACCCGAGGGCAGGAGCTGGAATGACTTGGGCTTCTCCTGTGAATGAGCCATGCCATCCTGCACGTGGCCCCTGAGACCCTATAGAGTAGGTAGAGGCACTGGCCTCACCAGGCTTCCTGCCACCAATGCATACATTTTAAGAAGCTGATCACTTGGCATACTCTGGACCAAAATGAAGAAAGATGATGTGCTATTCTTGGGATTGGTCATGAGCAGATAGGGAGAGTTTCCTTCATGGAAAATGTACATCTTGGAATAATTTGGGGTCATGTGAACTGGAGTAGAGTTAGAACTGTGTATCCAAGAGGAAATTCTGTGCTCCAGAGACCAAGAAAGGGGACAGGCTTTCAAAACGAGCAGAGGGCACATGGGCATCTCCTTTCTTGCCTCTTGCTGATTCCTCAGCACACAGGATTCTCAGACCCTGGAGCCTGGAATTATGATGAGCTGGTTGAGAAATTTCTGGACTTCTCAAGGTACTTGTTGGGAGAATCTTACTACCATTCATCTCCACCAATGCCCTCCCTATACTTTGAAATAGATACTTGAATTTTTAAAGTCAAATACTATAAAAGTACAGCTTTGGGATGACCAAAGCACCATTACATAGAAACCCTAAGCAATCAGAGAAGGCAATGGCACCCCACTCCAGTACTCTTGCCTGGAAAATCCCATGGACAAGGAGCCTGGTGGGCTGCAGTCCATGGGGTCGCAAAGAGTCGGACACAACTGAGCGACCTCACTTTCACTTTTCACTTTCATGCATTGGGGAAGGAAATGGCAACCCACTCCAGTGTTCTTGCCTGGAGAATCCCAGGGACGGCGGAGCCTGGTGGGCTGCCATCTATGGGGTCGCACAGAGTCGGACACGACTGAAGCGACTTACAGCAGCAGCATATAAGCCATCTAATGCTAACTGGATCCCTCATACACATCAGAAAATGATTTACTGTCCTGCCACAGCATGGCTTTCCAGAGTGATCCCAGCAAGCAATGGAGGCAGAGCCTGGAAGTGTGGCTGGCCAGCCTTCCACAGCTTTACCTTCAAAGACCCCATTCTCGGTCTCGAGACCCAGCAACTTCTAGAAGGAACTGGCCCTCAGAGACCATAGGACCTTTTCTCCATCATACACAGAGTGGCTCCTGCTGTCCCTGAGGCACGTTCAGGACCCTGGACTCAGGGTGCTATCCCAAGGCAGCCCCGTGTCCTGGTGCAGACGTGTGAGTCCACAGCCTTCCTGCAGCAGTAGTAATCACCTTAGTTAAATGCTGCAGAAGCGGTACTTTGGGAGCACAGAGGAGGGAGTGAATAATTGTAATTTCTGTGTGATAATGATGATAAGCCCTGCATATGTGTGTGGGGCTTTGCGACGTGTTTGATCTTCACCGGGAGCTCTCCAGGCTCATGGAGGTAAGGATCCCTGCAAACTCCTCGATACGCAGTGATGAGGTAGGAAAGTAAAATCCCAGTACTCTCATTTTGCCTGAGAGCAAAAGAAAATCAGAGATAATTTTAACTCCAGAGGGAAGGTAGAGTGAACTAGAAGAGTTTCTTGGGGTTATCTTAATGCTCATCAATTCCATTGCAGGTAGGTGATCTTATTGGTTCCATTTTCCAGATGTGGAGACTGAGGTCAGAGAAGTTGAGTGGCTTCCCCCAGGTCACGCAGCTGCTGGATGGCGAGGTGAAGGTTTGCTCGTGCTTGTTTCTGATCTTGGAACATGATCCCTTGGCTACGGAGCAGCCCTGGGTATAGTCTTGGACAAGACAGGGGCTAGGGCACAGTAAACAAGACAACCATGGATAAGATGATGTCAGAGAGTGATACATGCCATGAGGAAATGATGTTTGGGGTGACGTAGGGGGAGGGGGAGTATCTGTACTATGAGGGTGAGGGATGGCCCTCCTGAGGAAGGCACATTGGAAATGAGAGGTCTGAAGGACATGGGGGAGCTAGCCAGTGCAGGTCTGGAGGAAGAGCATTCCTGGCAGGGGGAGCAGCATGTGCAAAGGTCCTGTGGTGGGGAAGAAGTCAGTATGTGTGGGGGACAGAGTGGAGGCCATCGAGGCTGGAGCACATGGGCTCTGGGGAGAGGGTGGGTGGGTTGGAGGGCCTGGATAGACATGCCTTTGTAGACCATGGCAAGGGCTATTGCCTTTCTTTTACTTTTAAGCTGCTTTTAACCAGAGAGCATGTCTTGAGAAACCTGTCCCCCCCTTTCCAGGTGTGGGAATGCTCCTAGAGCTAGAATTCTGTGAGTAACTTGGACCAAGTCTTGGTGGGTTGTTTGCTGTGGTCTCAGTTTTCTACCAAGAGGGATGTCCTTGTGACTAGTGTAAAACTGGGAGTCAGGAATCTCAGGAACCATGGGTGTAGGAAAAGTGGCCAGTCGCATGGGGGCCACTGTGGTTCATGACAGTGACCTTTGGCTGCTCCTCTGGACTTCCCAGGTGGCTCAGTGGTAAAGAATCTGCCTGCAATGCAGGAGATGCATGTTCAATCCCTGGGTTGGGAAGATCCCCTGGAGAAGGAAATGGCAACCCACTCCAGAATTCTTGCCTGGGAAATGCTATGGACAGAGGAGCCTGGTGGGCTACGGTCCACAGGGTCAAGAAAGTCAGACAGGACTGAGTCACTAAACAACAACTGGACCCAGCTGAGCCCCCACGGCCGTGGGCTTGGGCAGGGCTGCAGGGGGCAGTCTTTAGGGCTTCCTTTGATCAGGTTTGCCTAAGTCTGTGCAGGCCTCAGGGAGCTGCAAACATGCTCCATTCACTACCAGAAAGTGTTAACTCCAATCTGATAGCGATCACTTCTTTGTCAGTGCTGATTCGTGGGTCATCTAAGAACGGGTTGAATGAGTTTGAAGGTTCTTGGTGGTTATGGTTTAGGCATCTTTTCCCTTGGGTAGTACAGGTGCTATTGTTAAGCAGGACTCTGTTTAGAAATTCTCGGTGATTCCTAGATCCATAGAACTCTAGGGCTAGCAGAAACTTTTGCTATCAAAGGTACCTTTATTTTCTAGGTGAAGAGACTGGGGCCTAGAGAGGGCAAGGGGTTTGCTCAAGATCACACAGCGAGCCATTGGCAGAGTAATTCTCACCTGAGCACAAAAGGCAGTTCCAGACAGCTCCGGGAACCCTCTTAGCTGAAAGAAGGCACCAGCAGGGGGAAGGGCTGGTGTCCTGGTCACCTTGGGAGCTTGCACAGCTCCCAGGACAGTCCTGGCATGCTCCAAGTGGTCAGCAGTCATTCACTGATGTATTGATGGACTAACCTCTCCCCTCCGTATATTGTATTTATTAGAATTTGTTGCACCTTGGTTTCAGCAAACTCCATATATAGCAAATTCACATTTCTTTCCAAATTTTCTGGAATTCAGGGATTGCAAAGCCCAAGGCCTTGCTAGTATGATTTATGTCAACACCCAGGACAC